AACAGAACAGGGTGGATGAAAGGTTAAATCGTACATTGCTGGAGAAGGTGCGATGTATAATGACACAGAGTGGATTGTCAAGATCCTTTTGGGCCGAGGCATTGGTTTATGCGAGCCATCTCGTGAATAGGTTATCGTGCACTGCGATACAGGGGAAGACTCCGTTGGAGCGTTGGTCTAGGTCGGTAGCTAGTTACTATGAGTCGCTTCGAATATTTGGGTGTCCAGCTTATTACCATGTCAATGATGATAAATTGAATCCGAGGGCGATGAAAGCAGTCTTTGTGGGATTTAGAGATGGAGTTAAAGGCTTCAAGTTATGGGATCCACAGGACAAGAAGATAATTATTAAAGTTCCTCAGCAGGTGGAGGAAGACCAGATTCAGGAGATATCACAGCAGGTGGAGGATGATGTGACTCCACCCACTCCAGATAGCATTGTATCCATTGAGGCTCCTACAGAGGTGGCACTGGGAGGAGATGAGATGACAGTCGGGCATTTAGAGGATACAGTGGATGTTGGGACTCAGGAACAGGGTCATGTTCAGGAGTCCATTACAGCTAATAGACCAAGAAGAAACATTCGTCGGCCAGCTAGATATGACGATGTCATGGTTGCATATGCTTTATCAGTAGAAATCGTTGATGATTTAGTTCCTTCTACATTCAAGGAAGCAGAGTCAAGCTCTGATTCGATTAGGTGGAGGGAAGCTATGAAGGAAGAGATGCAGTCTCTTCATAAGAACGACACTTGAGAACTTGCAAAGCTACCGAAAGGTAAGAAGGCTATTGGATGCAAGTAGGTGTATGCAAAGAAAGAGAAATCTTCTATTGGGGAAATTAGATTCAAAGCCAGATTGGTTGCCAAGGGATATGCACAACTAGAGGGCATTGATTACAACGAGGTATTTTCACCTGTTGTAAAGCATTCGTCGATTCGTATTTTATTAGCATTGGTGGCACAGCTGAATTTGGATTTGGTCCAAATGGATGTAAAGACAGCCTTTCTACATGGAGATTTAGAAGAGAAGATCTATATGACACAACCTATGGGGTTCAAAACTACAGGAAAGGAAAAATTTGTATGCAAGCTGAAGAAGTTTCTTTATGGATTGAAGCAATCGTCGCGACAATGGTACAAGAGATTCGACGGCTTTATGATTGACCGAGGGTACACGAGGAGCCCATCTGACCCGTGTGTTTACATGCACAAGCTACAAAATGATGAGTATATCTATTTACTATTATATGTTGACGATATGCTCATAGCTTCCAGGAATACTTCAGCTATTAGAAAGTTTAAAAAAAAGCTGTCATCCGAATTTGAGATGAAGGATCTTGGAGAAGCAAAGAAGATATTGGGTATGGAGATCGAGAAGCTGTCATCCGAATTTGAGATGAAGGATCTTGGAGAAGCAAAGAAGATATTGGGTATGGAGATCGAGAGGGACAGAGTGAAGGGGAGGTTGAAGTTGACACAGAGGAGTTACTTGCAGAAGATGCTGAAGAAATTCAGTTATGATGGCAATGTCAATGCGGTGAGTACTCCATTAGCGCCCCACTTTAAGCTATCAGCAAAGATGTCACATGTTTCAGTTGAGGACCGTGAATACATGTCCAAAGTTCCATATGCCAATGCTGTGGGTAGCTTGATGTATGCGATGATGTGTACAATGCCAGATTTGTCACAGGCCGTGAGCATGGTATCCAGATACATGCACGACCCCGGGAAGGGTCATTGGAAGGCCGTGAAGTGGATTCTACGATATATCAAAGGTACCGTGGATGTTGGTTTGGTATTTCAGAAGAATGAGAAGAACAAGCAGGATTGTATTGGTTACGTGGATTCTGATTATGCGGGAGATCTGGACAAGCGTCGGTCTACTAGCGGATATGTGTTTACACTAACAGGAGCACCGGTGTGTTGGAGATGCACACTTCAGTCTACAGTGGCTTTCTCCACTACAGAGGCGGAGTATATGGCGTTGACTGAAGCTGTGAAGGAGGCTTTGTGGTTGCAGGGATTATTGGAGAACTTGGGGATTACACAGGAGACCCTTCGGGTATATTATGATAGCATATCAGCTATCTATTTAGCGAAGAACTAAGTTTATCATGCACGCACAAAGCATATCAATGTCAGATTCTATTTTGTTCGTAACGTTTTGGATGAAGGAGACGTCATGTTGGAGAAGATCCACACGAAGGATAACCCTGTAGATATATTGACCAAAGTTATTTCAGGTGTCAAGTTTGGTCATTGTTTGGAACTTTTGAACATTCTTCGGTGTTGAGGCCTTTCGAGGCCATTTGGGTGAACTACGTTCGGCTTGATTCCTTGGGCAAAAGGATACGTAGACAGTCTTTAGATTCAGCCGGTTAGATTAGTTGGTTTTGATGGGGTTGAGATCGTTTGGACTCTCGTTCGGGTTCACTGTGGATTAAGTCCGTTGTCGTGAATTAGCTTCACGACGTACTGGACACAACAAGTGAGACATTTAGATGCTTTGGTGTCGGCTCAGTTTTGGGAAAACTTCACGGAGGTGGAGAATTGTGAAACTGACGTGAGATGGGTGGGATGTGGGGTCCACCCACGTGCATGATACCCCATGCTCACAATTTACACATACAGCGGTTTCTTGTTTTCGTTTCGCATGCTTGATGGCCCACCCGAAGTTGGATCAGCCTTATAAAACCCTCTAGGGTTTCGTGAAGAAGTGTGTGCAAGGAGGATTTGTGTTTTTGCGGCTGTGTAAGCGAGGTGGGGATTCTCTTTGCGGCTGCAGAGAAAAAACGCGGAGTGCAAGCCAGGGTTTTGCGGCTACGAAGTTTAGCGGTTGATTCATGTGCTAAGGCAGCGGGCAAAGAACAACTTCGGCTCTCTTTTTGGGATTTGTGCATTCTTTTGTAGAAAGAGATATTTGTGTGAAGGATCTGAGAGTTTGTGTGAGAGTTTAAATTGAGAGATTGTAAATCCTTGTTGTATCTCTCCCTCTAATAGTAGATCTCCCCCTCCTTACCCCGTGAACGTAGGCTATTTGCCGAACCACGTAAAATTTGTATTCTTGCCGTGATTTGTAATAGCTTGTAGGTTTCCTCGCCGCGCAGTCCTAGAGCTGACGATAGGAAGAGCTGATATCTCACTTTGATAAGATATCTGGTTTTTGGTTCTTGTTTCCTTTGAGAAACGAGAATTTCATTGTGATCTAATCTCTTATTGTGCACCTTGCGCACCGGAGGTGCTGCCGAAATTTCCGCTGCGCACAACACATGGCCTTTAGTACAAGGAAAATTTTTAAAATCTTTTTATTTTTATTTTCTAATAGAACAGTAATGAAGTAAAATGCAAGGAAACATATGACTTGGAAATGGACAAAATTTACCTTAGTCCTGATATTTATGAATTTTTTGTACGTCTTATAAATTATTGACACAAAGTTTAATTACACATTAAGTGCTCTTTTATGAAATTCTTGAATATCTAGTCTTGCTTCGCTTAGATGATCGCCTTTTTCTAACTTGAAAGGTGGTCTTATTTAAAATAAAAAATTGTAGGAAGTGTCATACTACCGAACAAAATTGCAGGTTATCACTTTGTTTTGCTAGATCTTACCACCTTGTTAGGAAACCAATTCACTAAGCATTTCGCTATGTCTAGGTTGCATGGGTACGAATACGGGCATGGATACTGGTACATGTACGAGACACGGCAAATTTGTAAAATGTAGAGTACAGGGACACGGTTATATATATAAATATATACATGTTATGTACATTCATACGTGTTAAAATTAATAATTTACATAAGATCAATATTGTTTTTCCATGTACATAAGATCAATATAAGAAATAGATCGAAAAAACAAATGAATATTATGCTTCCCACACTCCAAAGTAGTTCCTAATAGAAAACAAATGAATATTGTTTTTTCCATGTACATTCATGTGTTGGGTATGGGTACAGCTTCCTAATAGAAGTACCCAGGTAACATAGCGCCACATGAATATTATGCTTCCCACACTCCAAAGTAGTTCCATACCTTGAGCAATGTCATCATGACACACTACAACAAGATAACCTACAATTACTATTTTCGGTTTCCCATCATCTAGTCCATAGTAAAACAAATGAACATGCTTGAGATTTCTTTGATATTAGCAAGAGAAGAAAGGTTAAAAATTTTAACGATGCAAGATGTTCTTTATAACATTCATGTAACTCTGGATTATGCAAATTAAACCAGTTAATCAATGGCAGTATGTGTGTTACAGACTTTTATTCAAGACTTGTATAATTTTAATGGCACCACGTGAATTGGTAGAAGATGCCATTTGATACAGTCTACTGTTAACATGTTTTCTGGACTTCATCATTTCAACCTATGAATGTAAGATATTATATCGACCATATTAAATGATCCTTGTTCTTTTGCATTTGATTTTAAAGGAGTTTAGGCTTAAATGTATGAAATTTTTTGTGAAAACACTTCAATCGCTCATTGATAGTCGCAATTGTTTAACAGGTTGAATATCAATTTTGAACATAGAATCTAAATATAAATACTGAAGTAAGTGTTCCATTGAGACGTTTTTTCGTCAATCCTTTCCCCTTTTATATCTCCTAGTCCTCCCAACCCCCCGAAAAAAAAATTCTTTTCCTTTTTCTCCTCCATTAGGGTCAAATGGGATTCAAATCCAACTTCAATTCTTGTTTCTACAGCTCTCCAACAATATTCCTAATATATCAATCCAAACAAACTGTACATGCCATCTTCAATGAGAAATGCAACACTAATAACTTGATTCCTATCACAATCTTGCACAGATTTCTTCTGATCCCCTTGCCCAAACGACCAATATGAGAAATAAAGCCTTAAATTATAAAACTAAAAATTCGCAGACAATTTGTCACTAATAACAATAACTCGAACACTTGCAACTAGAAATAATAATAACAACTTTTTTGGCTATAAGAAACATAAGACGAAAAGAATCAGTACCATTGGTGATGATCGCGCTAGTTTGAGGAGGAACCTTGAACTCCTCAGCAGCGAATTTTAGCACTGCAGTGAATGGCGCCGTCTCCGGAACACTGAAACTGCATAAAAATCGACGAACTAAAATTCCCAAAAAAAACATAAATTGACGAACGAAACCCTAGAAATCAAAGACAAATGAGGCAAAGATTACACTTTGAAGGGGAGTTTTGGATCCGATGTCAGGGTCACTTTGAATGACACCTTTCCTCCAGTCGCCATTTCTCTGAGAGAGAGAGACAGATGAGATGTTACCAGTTGAATCACAAAATTTTCAAAACCGGCCCTTTCTCAAAAATATTTCTAAAAAACGACATGTTTCGATCATATTTGTCAAAACCGATATAGTTTTAGTCATTGGGCTGAAACTGGGTCGGTTTTAACGAAAGAAGTTCTCAAACTTCACGAGACTTCTCAAGTTTAGTAACCATTTAATTAAGCTGCTAATTCACAGGACTTCAAGTCCTGTGAAGTTCGTTTCAGCCCTGAAGTTGTTTTGAACCATGAAGTTTAGCAGTTTAGTTAAATGACTATTAAACTTCACGGGACTATTCATATTTTTTTTGTCAAAACTGACTTAGTTTTAGCCCGATAGCTGAAACTAGGTCGGTTTTGACGAATATTGTTGAAAGGGATCGTTTTTTGGGAATATTTTTGTAAATGGCACTGTTTTGAAAATTTGTCCTTATTTCACTTATGAAAAAGCCCTAAATAGATTTTTTACGTTTCAACCCCCTCTACCTTGATCAAAAAATAAAAACTATCTAACTATCCTTCTCCTTCCTCTCTCATCCTTACTCAACTCTCCCCCTCCCAACTCAACTCCTTCTTTCTATCGTCGTTTCCTATGATGGCGCTATCGTCGTTAAGGAGAAAAAAGAATTCTCATCAAGATAGGTAGGTTTTTTTTCTCTTTCTCACGAAATCTGGATTTTTCCCCCACATTAGCTTCCTAATTAGAAACCCCAAATTACTTATTCAGGGGTTTGCCAAAATTAGTCTTCGAAGCAATTGAAGAGTCAGTAACGAATGGTTCGATATATATTTCTACCACACTGAATGAGATGATCGCACCATGTTTGTTGATATTGTTGGTTGCTTTTAATGAGGGAGGCAATGAGGGGTTTGAGAGGAGGAAGTTGTCTTCAACTGAGGTTTTTTGCGTCTTGTTGTCGGTGGTGACGGAGGAGGGGATGATTTTGGAGATATTTCCATGGGGGTAGGTTGGTAAAGTACTAGAGCCAGGGCTAAGCAAACTACGGTCTGAACCGATTAAACCGACTCAATCAACCAATTTTGGGGCAGTTCAATTTTGGTTTTTCGTATTCGGGTCGGGTTCAATTACCCTCACGTGATGTCGTCCCTAGTTTAGTTTTTATTATTATTAAATGGGCAAAATGGCCAAATTGGTATATTTTGTAGACACTTGATGACATGTTGGTATTTCTTGACAAATTGATATATTTTGTAGACTCCGACGTCATATAGCCCTTAAGTTTGGCCGGAGTCATTTTTCCGGCCAATATTCCCACGCGACAGCTCACGTGACTCTGACGTGGCCGCAACGTGGACTCCAGCATGGTGGTAGTTGGGCTGAATAAATTTCGGCAAAAGGGGAGTTTATATTTCAGATTAGGGCTTTTCTCTTCATCACCTCTGGGTATCCCATCGTCTTCTTCTTCTTATTATTCAATCTTCTTCTTCCTTCTAAGGTTAGGGTTAGGTTCAGTGGGAGTTAAATTAGTGATTGATTCTTCATCTTCAAGCTGTCGCTCAAGATCAGTGTCAAGCATGAGCATGGGAAGAAGCAAACAAGGGTTTAATGAAATAAAAGCTATACGACAGTGGAATGATCTAGCAAAGCAATCTAGGGTGAAGGTTTGTAATTGTGGTTTGGAGTGCGAATATTTTACTTCAATGACTAATGAAAATCCAGGAAGGAGGTTCTACAAATACCGCAATCAGCATGTAAGTTAATTTTACTTCCTCATTTGTTGCAGTAATCAACTGCAATTTTTACTTGGAAGTTGTAATTTTTTGAGCATCTCACTTGATCGTGGTCTCCTTTGATTTTTGAGTAATGATAGGCTGGTGGTTATGACATTTGGGAATGGATTGACAAACTAATGTGTAGTGTTGGATATTAATTGTTTTTGCTTCTAAGAGAGGAGATCAATGGTTTGAGGAATATGTTGCTGTTGAAGGAGGAGTTACTTCAAAGGTGTGAAAATTAGCTAAGAGGATGCAATGAGCACATTGACAAGCTTAAAGAGGTTGTCGAATTGTCCAAACATGAGGCTGCTTCTTGTTTGGAAGAAGTGCAGAAAATGATGAAAGAAAGAATAGAATTGCACGCAAAGGTTGTAGAAGAAAAAAGGATTATTAAGTTTATTTTGTTATTAGAAATGTTTACACTCTGTTTAATTCTATATGTTGTAATGTGAAGATGGTTGTAATGTGAAAGTGGTTGTAATGTGAATAAAGCACTGTATTTTGACAGATTGGTATATTAAACTCCTAATGTGTGTTGTTGATTGTGCATGAATAAATGAACTTTCTGTGTTGTTATATATAGGTATGAATACACTGTCAAGTTGACAGATTGGTATATTGGTCTCCTTGTATGTGTTGTTGTTGTGCCAAAATGCACATGACCTGGTGCAATGACTTGTATAACTAAATCTACATGACCTGGTTCAATGACATGAATTCAATTGTACATGTTTGACCCATATTGCACATGACCTGGTTGAATGATGTCAATAAAGCTAGCGGCATTAAGTAGACATATAAACTTTAAACCTACCAATGTATTGAACATCCATAATACCAAATGTATCAGATAGAACATGCCCAGAAACTACTGTGACACATAACAAAACACAAAATACCAAGTGCATGTAAGTTACAGAACTTTATCACATAACATAACACAAAATACTAAATAGAACATGCCCAGATAGAAATGATCAACACATCTAAACACAAAATACCAAATAACAATTTTGTCCCTAAATACATTAACCAGAGAGTAACAACTTTATCCCAAAATACAAAACACTGGTTATCTAGTTGAGTTAATTACATGGCCAATTTCTGAGAGGGTGCACTCTGTGAGGATGGTGCATTAGGTGTCAATTATATCACATTTACTTGACTGTCACCAGGAGCTCTAAATGTCATTTCCCCTTGTGGTCCTTACCACAAACCAAACCCTTCTGGCATCCGTAATTGACCTGCACCACCTCTCCCTCTACCTCTCTCTCTCCCTCTCCCTCCCCCTCCTCTACCTCTTCCTGCCTCAACGCTGGTTGTTGGAGCTTTGCTTCTTCTTCCAAGGATGGATGCTAGCGTTGGAGCATTACTTGGAGGCATGTCACCACATCTAATTTTATTCAGGCTTCCCTTTGGTCACCCCTTTTTTCCTCACTTGAGATGCTCCTTCATCAACTCTTGTTCCTTGTGATTCATGCAAGATAGCTCAGGTAAGGCTTACGTTGTTTAATGAACACAAAATACAGCTGCAAAAAATAAACTTACTTGTGTAGCTTGTTGTCTTGGTGGTGCAGTGGGGCACTTTCTCCGTGTATGTTCACTTGATTTACAATGGGTGTATCTCAATTGCACACCTTGCCTTGATGCCTTAAATGGATTTCTTGGACCTTCTGAAGGATCCCCCCTTCTAGCTAGTTTGGGCCTCCCCATTAGCTTCCTAATACTGTGAGGAGGCAACACAGATCCCTCCTGTTGAAGGTCCCAAAATCTGGTACCTTACACAGGGTTTAACAAGCTCATAAGCATTTGTGTAAGCTTTACTTTTGAACCAATGAGCAACAAAATCTTCTGGATTCTTTCTCATGAACAATATTGCACTAATGGCATGTGGACATGGAATTCTAGTCAAGTCCCAAACCCTACAAGTACAGATTTTTTCACCCAAGTTAACCTTATGGCCAATCCCTCTGTGATGTATCTCAAATCCACTATAGTCATTTGTTCCCGACTAACGTGTTTGACAATGCAATTGTTCTTGATATCCCTCTTTGATTTTCTTGCTTATTCTAGGGGCAATCCCACCCACAAATTGCATAATCAACTTCCTCTTTAACTGCATTCTATCCATCATAGCAAGTCTAATGTCTTCTAGCATAGAAATTATTGGCTTGTATCTTGCAAGAAGGATGAATGAGTTGAAGGTTTCGGACATATTGTTGTCAACACTGTCACATTGGCTATGATATTTAAAATGGGACTTACAAAAGATGTGAGGATCCCTTGCCATGAAGTCGTCATATGCCCTTTCAGAGTAATCATTGAGTTTGACTGCCTCTCTTACAAAATCCCCCATGGAGGTTGCCTTCACACAATACCAAAATTATTTTTGAAGAGTTCTTCCAGTATGTGCTTTCCTCTAGTTGGAATAAATGTGTCTTGCATATTGCCTATGCTCCACTTGGGGCCAAACTTCATGTATAGTTGGAACTAAACCCTAGTTAAACAAAAAAATATACCTAGATATGTAAACATATAGCCCAGGTAGAGATTAAATAGTTAATGACATGAAATGATCCTTACCTTTTGTTGGTCAGAAATTACAGTCCATCCCTCTCCCTCTCCCATGTTGAGATCACTAGATAAGATTCTCATAAACCATTCCCAAGAGCTTCTGGTTTCACCCTCCACAACAGCCTACACAATTGGCCACATTTGATTATTGTCGTCTCTCCCCACGGCACTTAGCAACTGCCCACCACATGCATGTTTAAGAAAGCATCCATCAAGTCCAAATATAGGTCTACAATTGTTGGTGAACCCCATTTTCATGGCTGAGAATATAGGAATGAATTCAGTATGGCCTAAAAAACATGCACATACAAACTTTGATAAAACTTCAAAATTTTCTAACAAACACTTAAACTTTACCTGCAAAGCACACGTAGAATCTTTGAAAGACCCCTGATTCTGATGAGTCCCTTTGATATGTGACCTTCAGAATGCATGTAGTTCCATCATTACTCCTTAAGAGCTCTCTCATGTATGGCTTTAACAAGCCATATTGCTTCTTAAACAAACCATCTACTGCATTCAAAGCTCTACTCTTTGCCCTTCTATATTTCCTTAAATCCACTATGATCTCATATTATTTTTGCATTTCTGCTTTCATGTCTTTGGGCTTGAACTTAGAATCCCTCAAAAAGTTTTCAATAATTTTTGTAGTAAGCCAACCTTCAATGATTAGCCTATTATTAAATGTCTTTCTACAAGTATGATAAGGGTGCATACTATTGATTTTCCAAGA